CCGCTGAGCGAGGCGGGAGAGGTCCCGCGGGGCAGAGCCTCTGCTCTTACCCCCTTCTCCGGCTCCGTTCCCATCTCCCCTGATTTTTCCTTTCCCTCCCGATTTTTCCTTCCCCTCCCAACAACGCCGCTCTGCCGCGTTATTCGAGGGCAATGCCGCAGCCTCGCCGGCCTCGAGGGGTGTCTGCCTCTTCCCACCTCGCTCAGTTAGAACCCTGAGGTTAGGGTGCTTTATGGGGGGTTTCCTTTTTTTTTTTAATTAATTCCAAATTAATACATCAACTCTTCAGCCGGGGGGGCGCGTGGGCGACGGCAGCCTCCCCCGGAGCTTTAGACGCCTTTTTAGATGCACGAAAAGGTGCACTCAGGAAAAAAAAAAAAAAGAGGTTTCAGTGGTTGGCAAAGAGAAAAAAAAGAAAAAGGTTGATCGGATGCTCGAGCGTGTTGAAGGAACGGGTTTCAACTCTTTCTCGCGTCAAGTCTCCGCCACGAGCCACATGATGGCGAAAAAAAAATCACGCAGGCGACGCTTCTGGTTTTATTCCCCTCCCCGCCGAATAAAATGAGAGTCAAAGGTGGCGACAGCCCCTTTTTCTCCCCATTTCACGAGAAAGCGGCGCTCTCCCTCTTCTCCCCTGCGCGGAGGGGAGCGTGGAAGCAGGGGGTACGGCAATGCCGCGCGCGCCTGGGGCTCTGCCAGGTTCACGGGGCGGCTGTCGGCTCGGCGAGATCCTTTAAACGCCGCCACGCGTAAAGCCAAGCTCCTTCCTGGGAGTCTCGGCACCGGCACTGTACCTCTACCTAGAAGGAGTTTTCTCCCCTCTTCACTAAAAGGGGGAAAAACTCGACTGCAGAAATACTTCAGAGCCAATGCTGCTCTAAAGTAAGGAAAACCAGCTCATCTTCTTAAAAAAGAAAAAAAAAAAAGGATCCTGCTGTTTTTTCATTTTGCCTGGGGTAAACAGGAGAGAAAGAGCATCCCTGTGCAAACACCCTTCTCTTCCTCGCGGCCAGGAATCCAGGCAGGGCTTCCTCCCCGTGAAAAAAGAAGAGCACCCCAAGGCACCAAAAATACCCCCAAATCCTCCCAGATCTCCGTTTTTAAGCTGCGGTGCAGGAAGGGGAAGGCAGGAGCGCCCGGGCTCGCTCCAGCGCACGGAGCCGGAGGAATTTCTTGCCAAAGGGGTGAATTCTCACCACCAGATCTCACTCACCGCTGGAGACCATCCAGCTGACGCAGTAACGGGGAAACACGGTCTGCGGGTTGTCGCTGTAGGTCAGCAAGTAGTCGAAACCGTTCTGGGAAAGGAGAAGGCGAGTGAGCCCGAGCTGGCAGAGAAACTCTGCTGGGCTTTGCGTCCTCACCTAAATTCCCCTTAGGGCCGCCCGCGCCCCACGAGACATCGATTGAAGCGGCACAGAGGCATAAAGAGCCAGTGAAAGCACGCAGGGAGGTTTTTTGGGAGCAGGCAGCGGCGTTCCCCTAGTCCTGCACTGACCCAGCAAACTCTCCGCAGGCTCTGGGTACCCTGCAAAGACTCCGCAACGCTTTTTCCCCCGAGAGCATTGAGCACTAGGAAGGAGACTTGCGAGGTTTGAGGCTTTTTAAAAGGAGCCTGGTGCTCTGAAGCAGCGTGTTTGGCTCCCCAGGAGCACCACACTCCCGCAAAGAGAGTCTCGAGCTACCGGGACAGAGCTTCAAATCCTTCCGGAGCCACACATGGATGGGTTTCCTTTGCCTTTGGGAAAAAGAACTCATCTCTCTTTTTCCAGCTCTGGACGACTGACGCCGGCATAGCGCTACGGACAACGGCCAGAGGAGATACGGTTCTGCTCGGAGCGGTGCTGGGAGCAGGAGGAAGCTCTCCCATGACAGACTTTCCGCTCCGTTTCCCCAGCCCACCTCCAAAACGTACCTCGTCAAAGGTTTTGTGGGGACGGATGACCATTTGGGATTCGTAGGTTCTGACCCGAACGTACTCGGGGTCTTCGGGGACGCTTGGATGCTCCACTGCCCTGGAGGGAAGAAGAGAAGGGAGCAGCACGAGGTGAGCTCTGGCTGTGGACTACACTGAGCATCTGCCCATATTTTGGAGGCGGGTACTAAGAGAACAACGTTTTCACCCCAGAGGCGGCAGCTGTATTTTCAAGACAGTTCCCTGAGGTTTTGACACAGGTTAAAAAAAAAAAATGCTCATGAAATTTATCCCCAGCTCTCAGCTTGGTTTTATAGACGGGAGATGACAGAAAGCAGTCGGGAGGTCAGCCCGGCAACACCTACCGTGAGACTAGTACCATCAGGTTGTTCTCTTTGTCTACGCTGTACCGTCGAACGTATACGTAGTCTCGCGAGTACATAGGGTACTGGGGGAGAGAAGGAAGCGGCATCAACCCCGCTGGCCGTTTGCCTGGGGTACGGAGGGTCACCAGAGCAGGAAAGAAGGAACCGCTCACCGGGAAATGAGTGACCCAGTGAATCACTTCCGATCCAGTGGCCAGGTCTCTCTCGATTACGTCCAGTTTGATGACCAGCGAGTCCCACTTCTTCCTATATTCAGTGTCCAGCTGGCAAGAAAGAGAAGCTGAGTCACAACCAAGTCCAACAGCGTCGTTGAAGGAAGGTAACCAGCCCTTTTCCTCATCCTGTGGAAACAAGCTGCGTCACGGTCAGGCGTTTTAGCCAGCAGGAAATTATTAAATACTTTTTGAAAGTCCCCGGAGGAGGAAGCGCAGGAGCTGGCAGGGCAGGCAGGGAGCGAGCTAGGACCAGAAACCTGCGGAACTCCTGCGGCTGATCGCCGCCCGCGCGTCCCAGACCTTCATTTCCAGCAGCAAAACCCGATCAGGGCGTGGGATAACTCGCCCTGCTTCTGATCTACACCGGGATCGGCTCTAGATTGTGTAAAGGGTATACGGAGAAGAGACTATGCACCGTTCCTCTATCCCACCCCTCCGGCAGAGGCTGTACTTTATCTCTAAGACACCACACAGCCCGGATTTCCAAGGCGCTCACCTGCACGTTGAAGAACTGCCTGGGAGTCACATCTGTGTACGACCCAAACACTGCAGTAGAGAGGAAGCTTTTAGTCCCAGGCATAAGCAAGTCTTTACCTCAGGGCAGCAAGATTAAAAGGAAAAGGCATTTTCTAAGGCAGATGCAAGGCTGGGACCCCTCTGAAGGGCTAAGTGGGGATGGGACCTGCGGAGAAGGACGCAAAGGATGACAATTCCCCCCCCCGCCTCTTTTTTTTTTTAAGGTTTTCAATCCAACAAATACAGGCCAGGCGGGGCGGAGGGACACCCCCCGAGGGCTCGGCGCAGGGAAAACAAGCTACAGGCAGGGCACGGGGAGCACCGTTACCTCGGTACTGGTATAAGTGGGTGCCCTCGATCGGTCGCCGCCAGAGCTTGAAGTGCTTCTTGTCCATGATCATCTCCCAGGGCTGCTCCCCGGGAGCCGCAACCACCTCTCGTTCCGATTTGGGATCTGGCCGCTGGTACGTGCCCGGGCTGCCGCCCTGTAACAGGGTGATGTTCTCCATCTGCTTCATCTCCTGCGCGGACCTGCGGGAAGACAAAAACCGGAATGGTCAGTAACCAAAGCCTCTTCAGAGCCTTTCCACTACCAACGGAGTCCCTCGAGACAGGCAAAACCTTCCCAGCCAGGTCCAGGCTTCATCTTGAGGGTTTTTGGTGCGGGAAGAGCAGCCTGGGCATGGAAAACGCAACCCTGCAGCCTTTTTCTTTTATTCTAAGGATCTTGTGCTTGTGCTTTTCCACAGCATGGAAAAACGTCCCCACGGCGTGTTCAGC